GGGGGGGGGGGGGGGGGGGGGGGGGGGGCATTATTTGTAGACAACTCTAATGAAATTTTTGTTCTGTCGCGGGCGCGTGGTAAGGGTAGGGAAATATAGTCGCGTTCTTAGAATCGACTTCCCCTACACCCACTGGCGCGCAACTATAACGGGAGTCTACTGTATCCTCTAAATAGAACTTAAGAATAATCGGGCGAGGAGGAAATGTAGGAGGTGAGGCGGAGGGGTTTCTATTGTTTTCCTGCAGAAAACCAATCGCTGAACAAAAAAATTTTTCCCATTCGGATTCAAAATTCAGGCAGTATTAGGGAGTATCTCCGGTTAAAAATTATTTTTGGAGCTAATCAAATTTATTTATATCTGTTCCACGCATTGAATGGTTTTCAGATTGTTTTTTTTTTATAAATGAAAAAATATTAATCCATGCGAAAAAGTGGCAACATCGTCGGTAGTGTTTTTCTTTTTCACCAGGAGCTGGTACCACTGGCTCGAGGGAGCTCCAATCACAACGCTTCATCGCTCTCTCTCTCTCAAGAGACGTTTAAATTGACCGCGCTACCCCCACCCGATCGGTACTTGAGACGTTGCTGCTCGTTTGGGCTGCGTGCGCAGAAATGTCATTTTGCAGTACTTTTTTCGCTATTATTAATAAACAATGCTCCTAGGCGACAATCTTTTTCACTCAAAAATTCATTGATCACATGTTCTAAATGTGTCTAAAGTTTCATGACTTTGGCTGCTTTTTTTCCTTGAGTTTTGCAGTTTTTTTTGTAATTTCCATAAGATCACGGGTTAAATGACCACTTTTTCAAAAATTCATAATAAATTAACCATGTTCCCCAGCAGTCTGAAACTTTGCACACGCCTTTTCCATCATTTAAAGAATACGTAAAAAATAAAAGAGAAAAATGGCTGCTTTTTTTCTAACCCTCCGGGCTCGCCCGATTATCCTTAAGGTATTGGAAAAAAATGATTGGGAAATTGCTCTTGTATTGCATATCGCATAGTTATTTTTGCTAATAAATTGGCAATATGCTTCCGAACGGTTATTTTGCAATTTGTTTCCTCTTATCATGTATAATTTAAATGATTTGCCAATTTCATGAAATTGTTTTTTTAATCATTGTTTATTTCATTTGATTAAACTGAATAACATTTCTTTTCAACTAATTCTGTCAGATTTTCAACGTACACTGGGAAAAAAACTATTTTTGCCAAATATCCATTTACTTGAGAGAGGTATTTATTTTTTGAATACCGTATTTCTCCGATTAAGTGATTCCCAGGCAATTCTCATTAAGTTTTAATTCTGACAATTATACCAGAAGATGATCATGACAATGACCATGCGTGAACTCTCTCAATAATTATAAACATTAAAAAATTAATCCAAATTCTTCCCTCTAGAATATAAGAAATTTAATGAGTAATCATTGGAGGAGTTCGTCCTAGGTCATGTGGAACATAGTCATCCTCTAGAGCAATATGATGACTCGATTGGAGAAATACGATTTAAAAAAAATAAATGCTTCTCTCAAGTAAATGAATATTTGGCAAAAATATTTTTTTTTCTTAGTGTAGTTGAATGTTATTATCATCATTGTTCTTATTATCCCTTTTTTCTATACGATCGATTGTCTTTTTTACAGTTGTATCTCTCCCCTCAGCCCGTCGATAAAATATTAATAGAACAATTTTATTTATACATACTTAAATGAATTTGAAACATCACAGTGAAAGAAACTATCGGAAAGCTCACTGTCAGGGAAATTCATGAAAAATAATTCGAAATTTTTAACAAACATCATAACAATTAAATCAACCAATATAACTATCGTAATCATCTTGTAAATTCGACTTAATGGCAGTAAAACAAACATTTTAAGCAATAATTTAATTCATTTAAAGCATGATATACAAAGATATCCCCGGAATTTTGATTTACAAAAAATACACATTTTTGCAAATTTTTAGATAAATCAAAATAACGATTATTGCTATCATCTTCATCTTTGAACTCGGTCCAAAGGACACTGAAACAAATTTTTTAAGCAGCCATTCAATGATTTCCGATTTTTTTTTAGTTTTCTTGAGAAAAACAATTTTTGAAAAAATTTAAAAATTTTAAAAATTAATAAATCAATTTAATTTTAATACAACCCTTTATTTCTATCTTTGTGATCCTTAGTGTTTGGCCCTTCATTTCTGACCCTTAATTTTTGAGTCTCAATTTCGAGTACCAAATTTTCATCACCAGAAGTCAATGTTGATTTTGACTATATAAACAGATTTTGAACTTTGTGACCCTTGTGGCCCTCGTGACCTTTACTTCGACCCTTGTGGCCTTTGGTCTTTGACCCTTAATTTTGGAGTCTCAATTTCGAGTACCAAATTTTCATCACCAGAAATAGTTTCGATTTTTATAATGCAGAGAGATTTTGAACTTCCTGCCCCTCGTGACCTTTACTTTGACCCTTGTGGCCCTTAGTCTCTGACCCTTCATTTCTGAGCCTTAATTTTGGAGTCTTAATTTGAAGTACCAAATTTTCCTTACCAGAAGTCAATTTTTATAAGATGAAGAGATGCTAAACTTCGTGGCCCTTGTGACCCTCGTGACCTTTACTTTGACCATCGTGGCCCTTAGTCTCTAACCCTTCATTCTGACCCTTACTTTCGGAGTCTTAATTTCGATACCAAATTTCCATCACCAGAATTCGATTTCGATTTTTATAATACAGAGCGATAAAAGATTATTTTTGTTGCAGTTTACAGTTTTATTAATAATCCTATTCACCTTGGCGTCATTCACTGCCATCCTAGCCCTCCAGAAGCACAAAGAGTTGGTCACGATGTTGACAACAAGCATGGAGGATTCCTTGAAGTCCTCCCCCCGTCTTCCGCCGCCAGATTCGACGTTCAATCATACGGAAATAAAGGTAACAATCAAATTATCGTGTCTATGACTCGTCGCAGACGTAAGATTATCGCACCTCTAAAAATAGACTGTGAATTACTCGTTATCTCGTGTGCTCCGTATGTACTACCCGGTGAACCCCCTTGCCCCTTATTATCGCATTCTTCTTTTTATTCTTTGAATATCGATGATTTCAGATGAAGTGTTGCTCCTCCCAGGAGACACCAGAGGAGGATTTTACCCCCGGGCTCTGCTGTGACTTTGAGAGACACGAAAATACAACGAGAATCAGCTGCGAGAAAGTTTATGGCACAGAGTGCAGGCACTTGACAATCAATCGATATCAATCGATTTTAATCCATGTTTTTCTGCTGGCGTTATTCTCCGTGGCCTTCCAGGTAATAGGATCATACGAGTGAATGACAAAAGTTCCTTGAAACAATTGGATATATTGATTCAGTTTATTTCTCTGGAGGTTTTTGAGGCCTTTAGAATTTCCAGCGAGGGAAATAGAGAGAGAGCGGAGTCTTTCGTGAGTTTTTGTGATTCCCAAATTGAAAAAGAAAATCTGAAACCATGATTTTGGGTGGAGTTGCATTAATTTTTTTTTTGAAGTTTTCTTCAATCACTGCGAAGAGGGTTTCTAGTTTCTATTGGTTTATTGGAAGCCAGGTGAATAAATAAAAGATTCTTGTCTTAATAAATTACTATGTTACTCTTAATATATTACAGGATGGGATTAATTTTAAAGATATTCAATTTTTCGTATAAAATTATACGAAAAATACTATCTATGTTCAATATCTCGAAAATTATTCCTCCGATTTCATGTTTTTTTCTTAAAATATTCATCATGATGTCTCCTATCTAGTGCTTCCAAAATATATGTACCCGTTCCTACAAAGTTTACGAGATATTGGCGTTTTTCTATTGAAAATTGGGAAATTGTTTTTCAATATTTTTATCGAGGGTATCTTTATCCATTTTTCAAGCGATTTTGATTTCGAATGGAAGCTTTGTGATCAGTCGACTTTTCGATCCTCTAATTTTGCTTAGAAATAACTTGGAATATCATGAAACGTCGAGATATGATGTTTTTAGAGAATATCTGTGTGTACGTCCGTATGTGCGTGCAAAATTCTGGGAATTTTTTTTATAAATTGTAAAATTATGTAAAAACCGTTTTTCGCATAAAATGACATATCCTTGTTCTATCATTGATTTTCACATGGAAACATTTCTTAAAAATAGGATCGTGTAGATATGCCTATCCCACTGGATAAAATCGAAATTTAATTCTCAATTTTAGAAGGTCCAAGGTTTCGAGGATCAGATTTTTTGAAAAAAAAACTTTTTCTTTCAATTAAAAAATAAAAATCCTACGGATCCATTCGGAAGCTTGTTATTGATGAAATTGCTAGAAATAAAAAATGACAAAGACAAATAACGCATCACGTAACGGTCACATGCCTTCTTACACAAAGGCTCGGCCCCCTGCTTGTTTCGAATTAATAAAAAAAATTTGTGCGAAGGAATTATTAAAACATTTCAGTTGCATTTTCAATCGATCATTACTACCTCCCACAGCATTACTCACCGTTCCTCAATTTCAGTTGCATAGATTTTAGTTTTAATCGGAACAGAACGCCTTTCAAATGATGTCATAGCTTTTAAAACCATGAAATAGTCTAGATACTTGTACCTTATTTTCAAGTCATCGTTATTGTTTTTTAAATTATTCTCGCTGTTAGTTGAGAACAGAAAAAAATATACCGGCTCGATTTGAAATTTCATTTCTCTTTTCTTCTCAGATTCTGGTGATTTTGAAACTTCTATACTACGCAAGGATAAAGAAGAAGCAGAGGCGGAATAGAGCAATGTCACACTTTTAATCATCATCGCCGACTTAAAAAATTCAACACAATTCCGAAAATAAAAGGCGAATATTGTATTTATTAACGGAACAATTGTTAGCGCATGATTCATAGTATCCCATGTATGATCTCTCAATGACGTTACAGGAAAATTCCTTGAAAAAATTTTTTACGTCATGAACTGAATGACACAACTGATTACTCATAGAATGAACCTGAATAAAAAATCCCAGTGGTTCTTCTTAAGGAATTATTACAAATCATTTCGTTGATTTCATCTTTTTTGTTACTGTTTTTTACGAAAATATGAAATTTGAAAATCATTACTCAATTGTTATTACTATTATTATTACATTATAATAATCCGATAAAAATTTTCATCGCCGATTTGAATTCTCTGCTATTTTTTTAATGTATTCTATGGAAATGTGACGATAGGAATTGAATTTATGGGTATTGGTTCATTACTCAAAAAAATATATCAATTTAAAAATTTTCCCTAGACAATGAAAAATTAAAAATTCAGTTTTCGTGTTGATCTCGTTTCTCTTCCTCTTTTTACTTTCTTCCATCAGAATTAGAAAATAGAAAGAAAATATATTGGTTTTTCTTCATTATTAAAAAAAAAGTTTTGAAATTTTCAAGATTGAAAAATCGTACTTTAATATTTATTTCTCATTTTCCTTTCCTACATTTTCTGTATTTCTTGTTTCTGTGAACGGAATACGATCGCAGAAATTAAAAATATTAATCTCCCTTCATTTTTCAAGAAGAAAAAAACCATTTGAAAATTTTTCGAAAAGACATCGAAAAGTAGATTTTTTCATTTTATTGATACTGATTGATGATGATCGATCTCTCTTTGCAATTCCCTTCTTCGGTTCCATTGAAATGAGAACAAAGGGATGTAAAATGTTCATATTCGTTCACATTTTCAGATCATTGGTGCTAATTAATTTAAAGAAAAAGAAAGAAATAAAAAATTTGTAGGTATGATTATCGAAAATTGTTTATCGATCTGTATTCTCACGTGATTTATGGGGAATGCCTCTTCATTCAATGTTATAGCATGTGAATTACGGAAAAATATATATATAATAACAATAAGAATGAAAAAAAGTAATTTAATCTAATTGTGAAGACGGAAAGGGAATAAAATAAAATGAAATAAAATAGTATAAATGAATTGGGGACGTCTTTGGGCTCGTCGTCAGCGTGCTGGCCCTATAAACCAAAGCGTCCCAGTAGCGCAGGTTCGAGTCCCGGTGATGAAAGATTTTTTCATCGCCGGAAAACGAACCCAATGCATGTGGAGTTAGTTATGTGGAGTTAGATATAAGTTAGCTTAGAGGCAAGTGCGGGTAGGGAATTAGGCTGGGGTACCGCGTAGGTACTGGGGCGGGTAGGTAAAAGACCACACAACGGTCATACCATCTGGCACCACCCAATTTAGTATAGATGAATTCTAGTTCGCTATAGTTGTAGTATTAATTCTAAAGCACTGAACTACGTGACAAAATCTATTCCCAAGATGTTCAACAATGCATTAGATTATTGATTAGCATAGCACTGTCCTGACAATGGAAATGACGATTATTCATGAACAGTCTGAATAAAAACTTTATTATAATTCATCACAATTGCCTGACGCCTGTATTTTCCCTCGGAAAATTGATTTTTCATTAGAAGAAAAAATGGGTCGATGTTTTCAACAAAAGTCGAAGTATCTCTTTTCTGTTTGTAGAAGATAAACCCGAAGGTAAGAGTCACACCCGTCTGGTAGTGGTGGGGCTTTACGTGGACTTTCCTAAAGGACCCGAAGACCTCACCAGTACAATTCGCGCCGTTAGGAGTGCCACGTCGTCTGCCAGAAAGAATAACCGCGCGGTCATACCATATTATTATTTGTTGGTTTAATTTAATAGTTTTGTGCTGTGAATTAGCAAATTAGTCAATCAATCATGGATTGTGGATCTAGTTGCATTAAATATCTTCTTTTCATCTTCAACTTTATTTTTGTGGTAAGTAATTTAAACATTTTCAAAATTTGCAATTACGAATGAATGAAGGAACAATTTCAAACATTAACAAAAGCATTGGGACAATTTTAAATATGAAAACCGAATTTTTCATCATTTTTGCTATCGAATGGAAGCATTGTAATCGGTGGAATTTAAGTTCTGGATTTTTCGTGTTATATCGACCCATTATGATCCAAAAAGTCCGAAAATGCAATTTTTGTATTCGCGTATGTATATAAACAACTTTTTCTTCGATTGTTCGCTAATGAATCGGTGGAATTGAATCTTTTTTTCCCTCAAATGGAGATATTGTTGAGTCAATTAAAATTCAGTAATTAAGTAGTTAAAATTCAATTCATTTATGAATTTTTAAGATTTTTTAAATTGTTCAAAAATTGTTTTTTCATGATAACTAAAAAAAATGTTCTGAATTGATCGAATGATGGCTTAAAAAAATTGTTTGGACGTCCTTTTAATCGAGTTCGGAGATGAAAACGATAGCAATAATTGTTATTTTGATTTATTTAAAAATTTGCAAAAATTCTGTATTTTTAGAAAATCAGAATTCCCGGGATATCTTTGAATATCATGCTTGAAATGAATTTAATCATAGCTCAAAATGTTTGTTTTAATGCCATTAAGTCGAAGTTAAAAGATGATTGCGATAGCTCTATTTGTTGATTTAATTTTTATGATTGTTGAAAATTTCGAATTTTTCATTTATTTCTTTAAAAGTGAGCTTTCTGATGGTTTCTTCAAATGTGATAAATGTGTCAAATTCATTCAAATATGTATGAATAAAAATTTTCTATTACTATTTCTATCGAAGGGCTGAGGGGAGAGATAGAACTGTGAAAAAAGACAATCGCTTGTATAGAAGAAAGGGATAATAAGAATAATGATGATAACATTCAACTAAGTTGAAAATCTGACAAAATTAGTTAAAAAGAAATCTTGTTCAATTCAATAAAATGAAATAAATAATGAATTATACATAATAGAAGGACATGATGTGCAAAACAATCATTGGGAAGCATAATGCTAATTTATTAGCAAAAATAACTATACTATATGCAATACAAGAGAAATTTCCCACTTATTTTTCTCAATTTAATGACTATTATAATTTTTAAAAGAAAAAAATTTTGAAATATGAATGACAGGCGATATTTTAGTTGAAAATAGAGACTAAAATCTGAACGTGATCTGAAGTTGAAAATCTGACAAAATTAGTAAAAAATAAATCCTATTCAATTTCATAACATGAAATAAACAATTGATTATACATGACAGAAAGAAATTATGTGCAAAATAATCATTCGGAAACATATTGCTAATTTTTTTTTAACATTTCAAATAAAATGGTCGATTAACAATATATATACACAATGATATGCAAATTATGTTGAAATTCAGTCGGAGTCTCAGCCCTGGGGCTTTTACTTACAAATAACATGGGAGTTGTAATTTTACACTGATAACAGGAGGATTATGAGTAAATAAAACCATATGCTACAATAGGGAAAAGCGAATAATGAAGAACCCTATATCTTGAATATACTGCTAATTTCTTAGCAAAAATTATTATATTATATTCAATACAAGAGCAATTACCCACTTGTTTCCTTTGAAATTTCCGCTAAAAATCGTTAATAATTTAGTATAATCATTGGTTGATTTGAAATATTCAGACGAAATGTTCCATTATTTTTCAATGATTATTCATTGAAAAATGCGGAAGAGTCGTGTTATGTGATGCCGTCACAACCGTTAGAGGCTGGGCTTGTTGTTTCTGTGATGTACCTAAGACCGGTGTACAATTTCTCTCTCTTTCTTATCGGAGAGAGAAGGAAGGGAAAAAGAAACACCCTGGATAAAGAAATACATTGTCCCGGTCCCAAACATGTTCTTATACGCCATGAATGCACTGAGTTGGGCACTTTTCGAATGAATAAAATCGTAAAAACACCCACTGCGTCGTCGCACGTGTCAGAAAAAAATATATGAACCGGAAAGGGAATGAAAGCAACAATAAAACTGAATTCGAAAATCGTAAAACGTGAAAGAAATTCTTTCATGGGTGGAACGACTAGAAATGTCAAAATATTATTTCGTTAAAGTTGTGTGAACGTAACTTAAATTTTGAAGATGAAAATATGAAATAAATCTTGAAGTTGATGTGAATATAAACATTTTGGTTGAGGTCGTGCTCAATTGGCAGTCTAGTATTATTGATAATAATTAATTCAGAAGTGGGTCAATAACACAGAGTCTTATGGAAAAATAATTTTTTTGAGATTAGAGTGACGATTAAAGGATAGAAAAAATGTAAAAAAATTAAGAATGTTATGCTGAATACTAAAATTATCGTCAGTATCAAACTTTTGTGATAAATAATTTATGTTTCTGAGTATCTCGAATGTGCAGGATGTTCCCTAGTCAAACGAACAATTATTGTTTAAGAAAATAATTGTAGAGAGAATTTGATGGATTAATTTTTTAATATTGTCAAAGTTAGAGTTCGTGTAGGACATTATCAATGACGAATTTTTTTTTTTGGGCATTTTAAATTAATTTTTGCTCGCTACACTTAAGGATAATCTGGCGAGCCCGGAGGGTTGAAAAAAAGCAGCCATTTTTCTCTTTTATTTTTTACGTATTCTTTAAGTGATGAAAAAGGCGTGTGCACAGTTTCAGACTGCTGGGGAACATGGTTAATTTATTATGAATTTTTGAAAAAGTGGTCATTTAACCCGTGATCTTATGGAAATCACAAAAAAACGGCAAAACCCAAGGAAAAAATGCAGCCAAAGTCATGAAACTTTAGACACATTTAGAACATGTGATCAATGATTTTTTAAGTGAAAAAGATTGTCGCCTAGGAGCATTGTTTATTAATAATAGTGAAAAAAGTACTGAAAAATGAAATTTCTGCGCACGCAGCCCAAACGAACAGCAACGTGTCAAGTACCGGTCGAGTGGGGGTAGCGCGGTCAATTTAAACGTCTCTTGAGAGAGAGCGATGAAGCGTTTTGACTGGAGCTCCCTCGAGCCAGTGGTACCAGCTCCTGGTGAAAAAAAAACTACCGACGATGTTGCCACTTTTTCGCATGGATTAATATTTTTTCATTTATTAAAAAAAAAACAATCTGAAAACCATTCAATGCGTGGAACAGATACAAATAAATTTGATTAGCTCCAAAAATAATTTTTAACCGGAGATACTCCCTAATATTGCCTGAATTTTGAATCCGAACGGGAAAAATTTTTTTGTTCAGCGATTGGTTTTCTGCAGGAAAACAATAGAAACCCCTCCGCCTCACCTCCTACATTTCCTCCTCGCCCGATTATCCTTAACGAGGAATTTGGATATATACTACTTTAAGGATATCCAATTATCTTTTATAGTTTGGTACAGACCTGATTATAAATTCAACCATTTTCAATCATCAAATTTGTCAATTAAATTGTGTGAGAAAGATTTAAAAAAAAATCATAAATATTCAGCGTCATTCAATTTATATTTTGCACAGAATTTTTTTTTTCAATTTGTTGAACCAACCATTCTTGAAAAATTAAATTTTTACGGGCTGCATCACGATGTTGTACAGCATGTATGAACTTGGCTGTTTTAAAATAATCATTTCGCTTGAGAAAAAAATTGAATTGAAATTTCAACGTAAATAAATTTAATCCCATGTTTTTTCGGGTTAACTGGCAATTTAAAAAAAAAACAAATTCTTACGCGCTTCGTAACAATATTACACAGGATGGAAGAATTCAGATCTTTGAAAATAATCCTTTCAGCACAGAACAAAATTGCATTGAAATTTTCTACTCTACGGTAACTATCGTTCAAGTTATATAGTCACGGCAACGAGGAAAACTGGTATTTCCACGACACGCAGTATCTTTATCGGAGTCATATGACCGATAATTGTTTCGGAGAATTGTTCATCGATTTAGGAAACTGATCACAAAAATTGTTTATCGTTTGATTACAATGAGAAACTTGAGTGAAGTTGATAAAATCGATTCTGAGTCATTGATTTCGTGCGATGAGTGATGAAATCACGGAAATAATCTTGTTCTGAATGTGAGTAGATAACAGCCAAAGAAATAAATTCGCAGGGACAAAAATAAATGAGATTATTTTTCCAACCTAAATATCGGGCAATATAATTGGCCCATTCGACATCACGTGGTACAAGCTACAGGATTTTCAACTGACAATTTTTTGATAATTTTCTCTGGTAGTTGCTATATAAAAAACAAAACATCATGCAGTCGAATTCATCATGCAGTCGTCAAGTTTTTCAGGAAAGTGCTTCGCACTCGTGATTTTTTAACCTGAAAAACTTGACTCCTTCGTTTGTTTACAACGAACCTATCGGAAAATACCCGATAATTTTGAAGCTCTTGTGGTATTACAAGTGAAAATTAATGATTCGATAATTTTTGCCGGGAATAGTTATAATTTTTTAGGAAGAAACAACACTGTTTGAAAACTACTTCTTAAATTTCAAGGAAAAACTCCAGAAAATTTTTACGACTCATTTACATGGAATTTTCATACATATTGAAGTCATAAATCAGTTAATTTCTAGAATATTAATCGGGGAAATTCGGACAATTATTGTTCTGAATTTTGAATATATCGAAAAAACAATTGAAGGTGATGTTCAATTTTCACAATGATTTTAGAAAACTCAATTCTCTAAATGAAAGCTTCCTGGAAAGGTTCTTTTGAACTGTTTCTGATGTTTTTCTAACTCGTCGTCTACATGACTTTCTGACGAATTTCGCATTATAATAACGAGGGAAATGCAAATAGACGCTTTTCGTACGAAATTTCATTTTCAATCAAAATGATTTCCCAAGATTTTTTTTCAAACTACTTTTTTTTAAATATTCACAAAAAAATCTGCATTTTTTCGGAGTTCAGCCCTTGTAATAACTTCCCCCTGAAAAACATGAAAGAGTTATTAAAAAATTCTCCA